GCGCATCATCCCAAAGTCTCTATGGTCCGAAGGCGGGAAAGGAAGGAAGGAAGGGCGGAGGAGGCGCTTGGCCCTTACGCCTGCGCAGTTTCTTCCCCCTTTCTAAAAATCCAATTAACCCGGAAGCGTCTGCGGGTGTTTCAACCACGTGGCTGACGCCCGAGTGGGCAGCCGTGCGTTTGAAATTGAAGGGAAAAAGCGGTGCCCGCGCACAGTATGCCTCTGATGCTATTTCGTGTCGTTCCGAATATATTATTACACGCGGATATTTTAAAAATTTGCCAACCCACCTATAGGAGCCCTCCCAGAAAACAAATTCAGTTTATTAATTTTAAATCAGTGTTTTTCAAACTTGGCCACTTTGAGATGGGCAGACTTCGACTCCCAGAATCCCCCAGCCCACCCACCTTGAAGTGGCCAAGTTTAATAACGTTGCCTTGAATAAATCCCAAGACAGAAGCCACCGTCTCCTTCAACGCCCCCCGCCCAGCTCCCATCCTTTCAGCCATCACCGTTCGGGATAGATGCAAACATCTTGTTTTGAACCACGGGCTGCATCAGGACTGAAAGATTAGTGTAAAAGTCCCGAAGCTGGACCAGGCCCAGGACTCAGGCAGCCCTAAGCTCAGCGCCGGGCAGGTTAAATTCGAACAGAGCAGAGCATCTGTAACCAAGGGTTGAACCGTGGAGCTCTTGGTGCTCTCTGAGCTTAGTGGTTTCCTTTCAGACGCCTCACTTCCTCACTAGGTTACACCACCAGCTCAGATTCTCACAACACGGTAGACCCAGTTATAATCAGGCTGGGACGCTGCCATCTGCAGGTGCAACGAGATCATTTCCTGCCCTGCAGTGGCTCTACCGCATTTAAAGGAGGACATCTGGGATTCAGGATGCGGCAGACACACCACATTACTATTATGAATTAAGTGTGTGTGCCAACTCCTGCTGAGCTCATAACAGCTTACCACAGATTGTTAATTGAATTTTTAAAAAAAAAAAAAAGAAAAAGAAAATTAGGGTCTGGGAATACGGCTCGCATGTACCAGAAGGAATGTGTAAGGATTTTACTGAAGAGTTTTCAGTATGTAGGGCTTTCTCTACTCAGTTACCTGGAGGTAAGGCCTGGGCAGGTTCTGCTGCTCACGCTCCTTACATAGAAGTTGTTTCTTGCTGGATGCTATGAAACAAAGAACTGCAGAATATTTGCATTTATTAAATGTATCAGGCCGCCCAACTCCATGACGACTCTGGGCGACTTTGTAAGTCAATATACTGACTTCAAAGAGTAACTCTGTCATATTACAGGAGGATTTAACCCTCATATCAAGCCTCCTACAATGTTGTAGCATTTTAAAATGTAAACTAAATCCTGGAGGAAGCACATTAAGTAGCTTCGCAAGTTTGGAAAAGGGATGTAGGTTTCTGGCAAAGTACATATATCGCTATGCATACAGAAAATCCAGGATTAACTTCCATCTTTAGCAAGAAAGATTTTTGCTCATCCACAAAGTCACAACTAATCAGAGCAGAGAATTCCTTCCTTCCTTCCTTTTATCCATCCCTCCCTCCCTCCTTCCTTCCCTCCTTCCTTCCCTC